CATCACATCACAGGTGGGGAAACCGAGGCACAGAGCCATCACTTGTTCAGGAACCTTTCTGGGGCCAGCAGCAGCATGGGGGCACACCCTGCTGTGGTGCCCTGAGCCTCAGCAGCAGCTGTCGGGTGCTGACCACTTTGCTTTGGCTGCCTGCTGTTCCCATGGATGCTGTGCTGAGCACGGGGGTGACAGGTTGATTTGAAACCCACCATGGTTCTGAGAGCAGCTTTTACCCACCCGAGCGGTAAAGAAAGCTGAGCGCTTTGCCATTCTCTCTAACCGAGCTAACATCTCCTCTGCCTGTCTTTGTCCTTGCAGGGGCTGTGTCACTGGTTTTCCATGAGGGAAGGCGAGTATCACAGCTCGAGTGATGCCGACCTGTGCAGGGCAGTGTGCAGTGTGGAAGTTGTGTCCCGTTTGTTAGGTGACATGGAACATCGCTCCTGCTGATTTCTGAGCAAGCATCAGGTTTGCCTCCAGTGCGGCGCTGTGAGTTGTCACGTGCTCAGTCTGGTAGCCCCAGACAGGAGATGCCTTAAGGGTCCTGCCTCCAGAAACTGCTTTAGAGTGCTTTGCATCATGCTGTCGTTCCCAGTTTCATCCTTCCTTCCTTTTACTGCAGCTTCTCCTCGATGACAATACCCTGCTTTTATGTACTGAAAACTGTGGGAGTGTTCCCAGAGTCAACAGGGCATTGAATTTTCAGAATAAATGGTCTATCTGGATGGACACTTGTAAGTGAGAACTAATTGGTGCAGGTTTGGGGGCAGGTGAGAGAGCCCCTCACAGCTAGAGAAAGTTCTGGGGTTCAGCATCGCCAAGAGTGGGCATTTCCAAGGAAGCAATCTCTGTGATCAGCGTAAAAGGGAGCTTAAGTGACAATTAATTCCTTGCATAACTTCTCAGTTAGCTGTACTTCAGATTGAAAAGAGCTAAACTCCAAGCCCAGTTTTATCATAACAGGCTATTCACACCAGGAATCACGGGACAGTTGGTGCATAAATTCATATTTGTGTCATTTTCCTAGGTTTTCCTCACACCTTGTCATGTCGCCTCACCAACAACTCCTTGGTGCCCCTCACCTTCAAACTTCGCATTCCTGGGAATGGCCTGGGAGAGCCCAGTGTCAGCAGTTTTGCTCACATGACAGACAACACTCACGTCCTCCAGAGAAAGGGAGCCCAGCGTCACCTCAGGCCAAGAGAATTCACCATAAAGCTCCGCAGAGGGACCATCCACCCCCTGGGATTCCTGGATATCCAGGTATGGGAAGAGTCCGGCCGTATGTGCTTGGCGGGTGGAGCTGGAGCTTCACTGAGGGATGGGAGGGCTTTAGCACCACTAGCTCTGAGCGTAACATGGGTAGGATATCTGCACTGGTGTTGGGCTTTTGTTAGCTGGGTTACTCTGGGGCTTTTCTGGAGGATCACTGCTTTGTTCCCAGAATCGTCAGCTGAAGATCATGTACCATATGGTCAAGTGCAGAAGCCATTCATCTGTTTCTGAGAGCTTCTTGGAGCAGTTTCTTTGATTTAAAGTGGGCAAAGGAAGGGCGAGGACAGAAGGTGGCTGTTAAAAAGAGATGTCATTGTATAAAGCACTTTGCTTTTCCTCCCGGTCTTATTTGTCCCCTCCTGATGAGCAGAATGAGTTGTATTCACTGTGGTGATCTCCAGTGGGGACTGAAAAATCTCTGGCAGCCATGAACTGCACAGCACCTGCTGGGCTGCATTTTGCCCTCAGCTTCCCAGTGTCAAGCTGAATCTGTTGAATTCAACAGATTGCCTCTGGATTTATGCTGTTGTAGTTGAGATTAAAAATTAGTCCTTTAATTTTAATACAGTGGGGAGTAGAGCATTAATCTAATTGTGGTTACATGTGCCCTTGTAAGCACAAGGTGTATTTAACAAAGCAGATTTGTCAGAAGACTTTTGTTACTCCCAGCAACTGTGCTCTGTCCATGGACCAGAAGAGTTAGGGCAAAATCCTCCCTTTCCTGCCCATGGAACGAGAACCGGAGGACAGCATAGGTGGACGGTGGCTTTTGGGAGTGATGAAGTGTTCGATGCTCTTCTCTTCCACCAGGTCACCCTGTGTTCCAACACTCTGCAGAGCTACGAGCTGGTTCTGGTGGTGGACGTGTGCGGTGTTGGCAGGGCGGTGTCGGCACTGCTCCTCACAGCCAGGTATCGGCGCTTTCCTTGCAGCTTGTTGTCTCTTCTCGTGCATCCAGCACCACGCTGCCTTGCACGTGGTTTGCTGGCTCCATCTCCCAGTGGCAAGTGTTGCTTAATGAGGTAGTTCTGCTCAGCTAGATGTGAGATGGGCAGTGTTCTGAAAGCAGCACCTGTGCTCCACAGACAGATGTGACCCTGAGCCTTTTTCTAAAGGGAACAGTAATGATATTCATTATTGGCCTGGGTTTTGGTGCTTGAGGTGTAATAAATTTCGAAAGGGCCATCTTTCCTCCTTCCTGCAAGTGGTGGACTTGTGCTGGGTTGCAACCAAAATACAACATCCATTTGGGCCGCAGTGAGCAGCCTGCTGAGAGCTGGTGTCTGGGTCACTTAATGAAGGCACATGAGAATGGGAAAGGGGCTTATGGCAGGACTGGTGAGGGGAAGCTCAAAGCAAGATCTTATAAAGGGGAAAATAGTCCTTGATGTGGAAGGTGAGCTCAGGTTTCTCTGCTTCCCTCTGGTTCTTTTGAGCATTAATGTTCTCAGACTTCAGCCAAAAGTTGTTCTTGTAGCAGCCAGATTCAACCCTGTTGTGCTGCGGTGGGTGTCGGTTTAATTCCAAGCGGGATGAGTTCACTGTGCTGTTCCCTCTCCCAGGCAGTCATCCAGTCAGTGCTTGGGCTGCAGTTTTGTAAAACAAGTGCAAATGGGGACAGAGAGTGCATGGAGCTGTGGGGTGCAGGAGCTGGGAGAGGGTGATCCCCCACTGCCTGAGGCAGGGGGTGGCTGTGCCCTCCATTGCTGGGCAAAGGGCTGAGTTCTCAGGCAGGGCAACAGCGGTGTGAGAGAGGAGGGAGTCGTTCTCCCTGAGACACTGGGGTCTTGTGCCCTTTGAGCCTTGGTGGGCACTCGGAGGAAAGGCTCCCCCAGAGCTCACGCCTTGCTGGGACTGTTGGGAGGGTCCTTGCAAGCCTCCTGAGGCAAAGAGCGGGCAGAGCTGATCAGGCAGCTCTGGCACAGGGCACCGTGCGCTGCCCGGGCACCTGGCAGCCTCTGCGAGGCTGAGTCCCGGGGTTTGCCCCAGCTTTACAGGAGGTGGTGGAGTCAGAAGCAGTTAAAGGCCATTTATCGCTGTAGGGGTATTAAGTGTCTATTTGACAAATCTGTTGTGCTCTCTTTCACGCTACTCGGGGAGTAAACGAACTCAACATTCTCTCGGTATCTCTAATTCGCTTTTGGTCCTCTCTTTGCCTAGATGCGTGGTTCCTGCGCTGCGAGTGCTCAACCCTGTCGTGATGTTCGGACGGTGCTTCCTAAAAATCCCTTACCAGCAGATGCTGACCCTTGTGAACGACAGTGATCTTCCAGGCTGCTACAGGGTTCTTCCTCAGGTTTGGCATTGCATCCGCCTCCTGCCCTCAGATGTTACCAAGGGTTTATTAGGAAAAAAAAAAGGGGGTTTGGATAAGACCTTGCTGGTTTATATCAAAACCTAAAGGTTGCTGAGAAAAGGAAGCTACCTGAATATAAACTTCAGGAAGCACTTAAACAGGAACCTACCTGTTTAAGTAATATAGGCGTCAGGAAGCAGTTTAAACTTTTTAGGAAGCAGTTTATATTCTAGCCTTTGGGGTGCTTTCATGCAGGTGAACTTAGAGGTTTGTGAAAAGCTTCTGCAAGGAGGCTGCCAGGACAGGAGTGGGTGTTTGTGGGTGCAGCAGGTTTTGGACCCTCTGAGGATGCTAAGCCCATACAAGTCTTGCATCTTGCTTTGTACTTTTCTGCTTTCTCCTAGGGGTGTTTGAAAATGTGTGTGAATTGCCATTGTGGTAGATGATGAGGAGTTCA